CTATCACCAAGGCCATATTTTCCAACTACTGATCCTTCCTCTTTGATCTCAACCTTTGCATTCCAATCACCAGTAATGATCAATACATCTTGATTGCATATTTGATCAATTTCAAATTGAAGAAGTTGGTAGAATTCTTCTATTTCGTCCTTACTGGCTTTAGTGTTTGGTGCATAAATTTGAATAATAGTGGTATTAACTGGACTTCCCTGTAGGCGCATGGATATCCATGCACCTAAAGGGTTGTTCAGAGGAGGGGAAAAGGTCAACCTTCTTGACAGTTACTTATTTATCAGCTCCAAAGAAAATACTCAGGTCTCAGCAAACAGTACTATTTGTATTAAACATCTGGTCATATCATATTTCAGAAATATGTCTGTTTTTCAACTTGTATGCTAAGGTATAATTTGATAAATGACATGTGCTTAATATTAAGCAAAGTTGATCGTTATTATACTGATCATATTTTTCAAACTATTTTTTCCAACTACCCAGTTCCTTTCACGAAAACAGTTCTTTACTCTTTTGCAGGATAAGCACTCAACCATAAGGTCGGTTTGAACTGCAAGGTCAGCAGTTCAAATCTACCATTCGCTCCTCAGAAACCCTATACAGGGTCACTGTGGGTCAGAACCAATTCAACAGCATTTAACAGCAACAGCTGCATTTATTGTCAGCTATGGGTCGGAACCGACTCGACAGCACTTACCAACAACAACAACATACTTATTTCTGGAGTCCTGGTGTGGTGCTGCAGTTAAAGCGTTGGACTGCAAAGTTGGTTTGAACTGCAAAGTTGGCAGTTCAAGCTCACCAGCCACTCCACAGAAACCCTTCACAGGGTCACTATGAGTTGGAACCGACTCAACAGCACTTAGTAGCAACAACATTCTTATATCTAATTCTTCATTTATGATACAGATTATCTTCCTTCTTTGTATCAAACTTAAGGATATCTTTGCTATGTAGAAGCTATAAGATATTCTGTTTAATCTAACCTTCCACCCAATTTTGCTTTTATACAATTTCATGTGTTCATTTATTTTTATTTTATAGTATGTACTTTGACTTTGCAGGTGTTTTTTCCTTTTATTTTACTTAGAGGGTTACACATTTAATTTTCAGACTGTGGCGGGATACAGATAGGTGAGAGTGGAGTGATTCTAAGTCCTAACTATCCAGCCTCATATGACAACTTGACCCACTGTTCTTGGCTGCTGGAAGCCCCACAAGGCCACACCATCACTGTGAGTTTTAATGATTGGATAAACTATTTTCAAGACAATATCACATTGCTTTAATAAATAGGTAGTTACAGTAGGCTTTGATTATTCAGTCAGAAAACATCATCCCTGTAAAATTATCTCATTAGAATAAATGCCTTAGTGTCTACAAGTCTCCATTTAGTGATGGCTGAACTCTCTATTTCAAGCATAGAAGAAGCCATACATAGAAGAGAAATCCACATTCAGGAGAGAGGTGTGTCTTCTTGTTCTTACTGTGAGTTGCAGGGGTATCGATGACTTCAATGACTTCTGTTCCTGGAGAAATTTGCCATCTCAAAACTTTTAAGAGAATCTTCCACCAGAAAAGAACAAGGGAAAGGATGTAAGAATTAAATAACAGAAAAAATGTATATAAATTTAAAAGAAAACAGATTTGTAAGGACTGCATCCTCAACATAAATAAGTTCATTTACAACTTGGAGTGTCTCACTATTTTTTTTTTTTCTTCTTTCCTCCTCCAGCTTACATTTAGTGACTTTGATATTGAACTGCATAGAACTTGTGCTTGGGATTCAGTCACCATCAGGAATGGTGGCTCTCCTGGGTCACCTATAATAGGACGGTATTGTGGAAGTTCAAACCCCAGGACAATCCAGTCTGGCTCCAACCAGCTGGTGGTGATTTTTAACTCAGACCTTTCACAGCAACATAGAGGATTTTATGCTACATGGATCACACAAACTTTAGGTAAAAGAAACGTTCTCTGAACTCATCTTTTTTAATGGCATGTATTTTAAATTTATTAATTCAACGAATATACATTAAGTACTTACTCTGCCAGGCTCAATTATCATCTCTTAGAGCAAACTGTAAGGAAGACATAACGTCAGTACGTATTTCCTCCATTTGGCATGGGCAGAAACTGAAGATAGGTATGTTGATAATCTGCTCAGGTCACCTAGATGGTAGAGTCAGGATTTAAGCAGAGGCAAGAAAACACATAAACATTGACCTTAATTAACACTTCACCATGCCACCTCTGCAGAAGAAAGAACATGATGTAACCAAGGAATCATAAGTAGTAGAAGATCGTATTGGAATCTGAAGCAGTTTAAAAAATACGGAGCTCAGAGGCAGAAGGTAGCGGGCTGAAGGCAGGAGAGTAAATTGTCCACATTAGGAAGAGCCTTGGTTTATTCGTTACCCCTTGAATAATGAATGGGGAGTCATTGAAGAGTTTTGAGCAGGAAAATGATGAGATCAGATTTTGTATATTAGAATGAATACTCTGCCTATAAAACAGGCACTGAAACAAAATACCATAGACTTGATTGAAAACAGTAGCTTTGTGCATATAAAGTGTAAAATTCATGAGAGGTCCCAGAAAACAGAAGGATTTGTAGTGAACACTTGGCCCAGGATCTCCGGAAAGCCTTCCAATAGTAATTCTTAGTATTAGAATTGGATTTATTATAAAGATCTCTGCAGAATGAGTCAAACTTTCCCTCATTAAAATAATGGCTGCTATTGAAGTCATAGGGGATCTTTACATGAACCACCCATTTTCCAAAGATTGAAAATTAAGAGATTCAACAAATGTCCTTTACTTTAACTTTGTCTTTTGTTGTTGTTGTTTGCTTGTTTAGTTTCATTTTGGGGGTTTCTTTTTAGTTCTTTTGTTTTATTTTGAGTTCACATATTTCTTTGTCATCTTTAGATACACATTTTAATATTATAACTAATTCTAGATTTTTCTCTTTTTTTCTATCCAAGTTATTTCTTCCCACCCATTAATATCAATATGAATGAACTAAATTGCTTAATGGAAGAATTTCTCCCCCTACAAAATCATATTCTCTAGCCAAGTATATTATAGTAAAATGATAAATAGGTATACAGTTGTATTCTCATGTGCTTCTATTTAGTAAAAAAATATGGAATATGGAATTTGGCCTTGCCATCCTATAAATACTATGTAACCTCAAGGAAAGTAAAATATTTGGCATTGTTAGAAGACAATAAAAATCTGTCCTCTTTATTGTAAGATTTAGTGGTGTCATTTGAGGTGTAACAAAACTACAACAGCTGAAGTTTCCCCTTGCTTCATTTAGTGAAAGTTTTTGCTGTGCACTTTCCCTAAGACCAACGACACACGTGTCAGGAAGAGAAACTAGAATCAAACTGCAAGGAAGAAATGTTCCATCCCTAGAAGTCATGTGTTTTAAAAATAGTTATTCTCCATTTTAAAAATTAATGAGATGCTTTTATGACAATTTTTCAGGCTGTGGTGGAATACTTCACTCAGACAATGGTACAATCCGATCCCCTCACTGGCCTCAGAATTTCCCCGAGAACAGCAGATGTTCGTGGACAGTCATTACTCATGAAAGTAAACACTTGGAGATCAGCTTTGACAATAACTTCCTAATCCCCAGTGGTGCAGGACAGTGTCAGAACAGCTTTGTGAAGGTTAGTATTCTTGTTTATTTAACTGGAGCTGAACTGATTTCATAAACATGAACGTTTAGTCTAGAAATGACTCACTACCTCTCAAAATTACAAAAGGACAATTGTGCTGTTTGGGTTTCTTGAATGAAGAAGTGAGAAAACTAGAATGTTAAGGGTTAAAATAGGAGCCAGAATCCACATTCTTGTCGGTATATTTTCTGACTTTTGTGGTGCTATTGGATAAGCACTGGACCACTAACCAGAAGCTCTGAAATTCAAACCCACCAGTTGTTCCTCAGAAACCCTATATATGTTCACTATGAGTCAGAACTGACTTGACTGCACTTAACAACAACAGTCCATAGGCAAAGTCACTTAACTAAGGAGATTGTTCTCTAACCTTATTAAACTCTCCTGAAAGTTAGGGTTGACTTCCTTTCAGTGGGAACTACAGAGTAGACCAGGTGTTTGGTTGCTGTTTCTTCCTTTATTTTATTTAAAAAATTTTTAAATAGATCTTCAAGGATCAATGCTCTTTGGGCTCTAAGGCAACTTCACAGGCAAAGTTTAAAATATTCTATAAAACTTACAAAAGATTGGCGATGTAGCTAGTACCAGCTCTAACTTTGGGCCTTAAGAGTCCACAAGCTGAAAAGATACAAAAGACTCCTGTGAAAATTATGGCAATGGGCCAAACAAGGTTCTCTCTCTCTGAAGCTATACTGCTCATGTAACACTGACACATCATCACTTTGCTGATTGAATGATAAAGGTCATTTCATACATCTCATACTTTTTTATCTTCTGTGTTATATCTCTAATAGGCTACACCCTTTCAAGACACACAGAATGGGCTTCAGGCCTCACATCTCTCCCACTTTACCCCCTACTTCTTCTGGAGCAGGTTAACTAAGTAGTTAGACCTCCAGTTAGTTAGCTCCAAAATGGAGACAATAATTCCTACTATAGCAGGATCATTTTAAGGATGAGAGGGAAAGCAATATAATAACACCCAAAGTGCTCAATACTCACAGAATAAAACCATCTAATGAATGGCAGTGGCCTTTACCTACATAGTGGTCATTGATGTTATTACTATTTTATACCATCTCTTGAATTATGTTTTAGACCTCATTGACTCATACTTGCTATTTAAAGGGAAATGCCACATCTATTTACAATATGTGTTTCATAAAGCACTTTAATACACGCTCTTAGTAACTGCTTTTTCTATGAAGCAAATGAACTCGCTTCAATGGAATCAGTCAATGTCAGATTTTTAGATTTTACTAAAGCCCTGCAGGTCCTCCACTTAGACAAAAATTGAATTTGAAAAATGGCTTGAATACAGACTTGTGTTCTAGACAAGATTGCATTGGATGATTAGGTTCCCATTCCTCCCAGATAAACACAATTACAAACCCTTGAAATGGTACAAAAGATAACCAGAAGTGAACTCTGAAAGCAATTTGCCCTCCCTGCAAGACATATGGTAAGTGCCGTAGCAGCGTGCGTGGCCTTTGTGTCTCCCTCAGTGTCTAGAAAGCTCAGCTAGATCATGTCAACTAGCAAAAATGAAGAGGAAACTGAACAGTGCAAATAGTGATTGAAAAGAACGAGTGCCCAGCTACATAAAAATGGACACAACCTCCTTGGAAAAGTCTAGAATAGGATAAGCTATAAAACATAGCAGCTTTAAAAATATTCTCAGAATATACTAAGGATTTTTATGTGTATTATTTACTGTTACACTTAGTTCTACATACACCCAAGTACCATTATTTTCAAGCCTAAGCAAATTAAGATATTGACAGGGTGGTACTGGAAGCATTAAAACATGTCTATGACTTTGCCAGGTATGGGCAGGAACCGAGGAGATTGACAAAGCTCTTTTAGCCACAAGCTGTGGGAACGTGGCTCCCGGTCCCATCATCACACCGAGAAATACATTCACTGCTGTGTTCCAGGCTCAGGGCGATCCAGCTCAGGGCTTCTCTGCATCCTTTGTAAGCCGTAAGTAGCACTAAAACCTGAGAAGTCTTGAAAGATGGGCTGCCACAATCAGACTTGGGGAGCAGAGTTGAAGAAGAAGAATAGGTTTGCTTAAAGCATGTGAAGATCACATAATCCTTACTTCAAAAATCAGTGAGAATGGAATTGAATTCAATGGTTGGTCAATTGTGAAATGATATAAAAGACATGAATGCCACTAAAAACTTAAATTGAGTCAACTCCAACTAATAGTGACCCTAGGTGTGTCAGAGTAGAACTGTGCCCTCTATCGTTTCCAATGGCTGGTTTTTGGAATTAGATCCCCAGGTCTTTCTTCCAAGGCACCTCCGAGTGGACTTGAACTTCCAACCTTTGATTAGTAGCTGAGCATGTTAACCATTCATACCACCCATGAACTTCTATGTGCACAACTTATTGTTGTTACTTGCCGTGAATTCTGTTCCGACTCAGCTATCAGGAAACCCTGTATAGAGTTTACTAGGAGTCACTGGTAGGTTTAAACCACTGACCTTGTAATTAGCAGTCCAGTGCTTATCCTACAATGCCAAACCAGGACTTAAGAGTGCAACTAGCCACAGTCAAAAAAATAAAACTAGAAGTGGAGCAGATATTCTGCAGGAAGTCAGGAGGTCAATAACTAGTAGACGTCGGTGTGCCTGGCATGTGGCACATTCACCCAGATCATTGGGTTTCATTCCAGACCCAATGAATACAGAGTTTCCATGGGTGAGGACTAGGAACCAGCATGTTTCAGCTCTCACCCAGACAATTCTCTTGCTCACTAAACTTGGGGAGACACTTTCTTTAGTATTTTCCCTTACTAAGTTAATACATATGAAGTCCTGGTGTGACAGTATAGAATAAGCACTGGATTGCTAACCACAAGGTTTGTAGTTCAAACTTATCAGCCACTCTTTGGAAACCCTATGCATGGTCACTCTGAGTTGGCACTGACTTGATGGCACTTTACAATAACAACAAGTTAGTACGTGAATCAATCCACTTCTCTAGATATTACACACAACTTAAGTCAGAGGAAGCTACAGTGGTTTCCAACACTGATAAATAATGGTGTGTATTTGTTAATTGAATCAAATTAAGGAACCACTAATTGCAAATGTAGAGTCCTAGTATGGCACTGTAGGATGAGCACTGGACTGTTAACCACAAGATCAGTGGTTCAAACCCAGTAGTCACGCCTTGGAAACTCTATATAGGGTCACTATGATTCAGAACCAACTGGATGGCACTTAATAACAACAAAATTGCAAATGAACATTTAGGGAAGAGTTTGATTAGAGGAGCGACTGCAATAAACAGATATTCCGGATAGGAATAACATAGTGAGGGTAGTGTGAAGGAGGCTATGAAAGGTAACCTAGACCTAATCTTAAATCTTTTAATTGGTTTGTTGTGTGGTGTATATATGTAGTTGTAACTGTGTGTATTCTAATACTGGTTTAGAAGGATACAGGTATTTTCATATGAGATCAGGGAGTCATATGGTTATGTGAAAACAAACCATTTTAGTGATAAAAATATTTCTTTTTATTTCTGAGATCAAAAATTCTCATTAAATGAGAATAAAATGAATTGGAATTTTGGTAGTAAATTCAGTCACTTAAAAAAAAAGTAACTGCCACTCTCATGGGAAGATTACAGTGGTAATTAACATGGGTTTCTAATAGTAGAATAACACATTTTTATTACATTAAGTGTATAACATATTGACCAGGTGCAAATTACTTTACATCAGGTTTTTTTCTCTATCTACATGAATCATATTTAGTTTATGCTGATTTACTCTTTCTTGAATATCTTAAAAGAAAGTAATTTGCAGTAAAATTTCTACTATCTAGCCAATAAAACTCTATAGCCTTTTGAAAAGCTATATGTGATATTCCCACTTTGCATGTATAGTGAGCAAACACCTTTTTGTTCCCCTGTAGGATGTGGAAGTAATTTCACTGGTCCATCAGGTTACATCATTTCTCCAAACTACCCAAAGCGATATGACAACAATATGAATTGCACCTACATCATTGAGACTGATTCTCACTCCTTGGTCCTCTTGACTTTTGTGTCTTTTCATTTGGAAGGTAAGTATTTTCTTAAATAAATTATAATTAATTCTTAATGAATGAATGAGGAGTCAGTAGAGGACAAGCAGACAGAGATATTCTAAAATAACTATTTAAAGAAAATTATAAGAATATGTTGCTTAGGATCCAGTTTCAGAAACTCAGAAGACACTACTTTGACAGCTTGCTTCTGATAGTTCCTGAGACCTGCCCAACCCACACTATTTCTATCAACAACTTCAATGAAAAGACGAAGACAGATGAGCTGAAGAAGTCTCTGAAGGCCATCTTCTCCCAGTTTCACCAGATTGTAGATATCATGGTGTCATGGAGCCTGAAGATGTGATTCATCTTCATCTTGAGGGAGCTAAAAGTAGCACCAATTCCTTGTGCTCCATACAGGGTTATTGACCCCTTCTACAACAAGCCCATCTGAATTCAGTATGCCATCACTGATTCTGATATCATTGCCAAGATCAAGGACACCTTAGTGGAGCAAGACCACAAGAAGGAGAAGGAGAAATCAAAAAACCAGGAGACCCCAGATGCCACGAAGACTGTTCAGGCACCCTGCATCGTGCACCACATGCCAAGCGAGCCTCCCTACATGATTCCACTCATCCACCCATAATCTTGTTGCCTGGCCTTACATCCTGCCAGATCCCCACAAGAGTCACATTCTTTATACCTGGAAAAATGTCACCTGCCAAGTCTTTTAGAAAACCCATTGAAACACATCTTGTTCCTTACCAACCTGCCAGAGGAGACCAGCGTATTCATTCTGTGTATGCTCTTTTACCAGCTCTCTGACTTTGAGGATGTCCAGCTGGTCCCTGGGAGGCACAACATGGCCTTCATGGAATTTGACAATGAGGTGCAGGCAGGGGCTACTTGTGATGCACTGTAAGGCTTTGTCATCACCCAGAAAATACCATGAAGTTCTCCTTCACTGAGAAGTAGTACCTTTTCTCCCATGTCTAGCCCTGTCCCTGTTCTTGGGTTATCTTTCCCATTTAGCTCAACTTCCTGAAGAAAAGTCAACCTTGGTATCCTTCTCCTACCCTTGTGTGAGTGGTCACCACACCGCACTGCACCCAGAGTCTGTCCTCAGACATTGCTCCTGGCACTGGTAGGCCAGAATTAAAGTGTTGGTTTGTTTTGTTTTTGATATTTGGTTTTCAACAACAAAAAATTACAGATGAGATTTTATGTAAAATTAAGCTACAATTCCACTGAATATTGTATGAACACCTGATTTATTTTCTCTTGTACTCTATGCATGTGTGTAAATGTACACACACATGCATACATATTCTATAAACTAACCAGCAAGAGAATTGTCCTTTTGAGTCAAAATAGCTGCTCAGTGTTAAATGGGAGAGAATGACAATGGACACCTCTTGAGACACTTGTCAATTAATGGGTACTATAGCGTAGTGGTTACGAATCGGGCTGCGAACCTTAAGGTCAGCGGTTCGAAACTACCAGCTGCTCCGCAGGAGAAAGATGAGGCTTTCTACTCCCGTAAGGATTTACACCCTCGGAAACCCTGTACAGGGTCGCTATGGGTTGGAACCGACTCAATGGCACTTAACTGCAGCAACAACAACAACATAATTGGTTTGGCACAGTAGTAAAAGCACTGGACTAGTAACCACAAATTCTGTGGTTCAAAACCACCAGCCATTTCTTGGAAATTATATGCAGTGTCACTATGATTTGGATATGACTTGGCGGAACTCACAACGACAACATAACACTTCAAAAAACAAGTCCTGGTGGCATAATAGTTAAGTGCTTGGTTACTAACCAAAAGGTCAGAGGTTTGAACCCACTAATTACTCTGCAGGAACAAGAAATGGAAATCTGCATCCGTGAAGATGACCATCTTGGAAGCCCTATGGGCAGTTCAGCTCTGTCTTACAAGGTCATTATGAGTTGGAGTTGGCTCCAGAGCAAGGAATGTGTTTTTCAGTGAATATGAGACTTCAGGAAAGACTCCTTTAAATATATTAATTTTTCACAAATTAATTTTCCATTTTAAATTACAGTTCATCTGCCAATTTGTTGGTCTACAAAATCAATTTTTTTTTCTGTTTGAGTTAGTTTCCCATACAGTGAAAAGTTAAACTTAGCAAGGTGATCTTCAGTATTCAACATCTAGGAAATTTATATTTAGTAAGAAATAAAAATGGCATGTCACTATTCATATATTGATAAATTATACAAAGCCTCTCTTTGCTTTCTTTTTTGTTAGGACTTCACTACCATTCCCTACATTTGACCACTGTATTTTCTGGCATATGTGTTTAACAAAGAATGCCAAGTTTTAATTGATACATGTTATTGTCATGCTAGAACAAAGAATAAAATTCAAGAGGGCTTTAAAATTTTTATGAAAAACTTACATGATCTTTTAATTCCATCTTTCTATGACCTTTTAGAATCCCCCTCGTATAATTGTTTCAGCATTTGCAAGCAAAAGATTCCAGTGATATAAAAAGATATTCAAGATAAAAGTACTGGGGTGAGAGAGTTTTAAAATACATTGTATAATGTCATCCAGATTACTATTTGAAATAACATACATATGAAAAATACCTGGAATGCTATTAAGAAGTATGTTAAGAGTGTTATGTCTGAACCAACAATCTTTATATTCGCCTTTATGCCTTTCATGTTATTTTTATAATCAGAAGGAAAGTTATTTTAGAAGCAGGGAAAAGGAGAACATCAGAAGTGGCTAGGTGTTCATTGGTATGTGCATTTGCTCTCATTAGATACTAAACACAAGGATAACGTGACACAGCATTCATTTAAACTGCAAGAAAAGGAGAGGCTGGCAGGTATACTGTAAAGCCATCAAAAACACTGCCAGTACTGATGGCATCTGTGTTATTATAATGGAACTACACTGACCCTAAGGAGCTCTGGGAGCATAGTGGTTATGAATCGGGCTGCAAACCGCAAGGTCAGCAGTTCGAAACTACCAGCTTTTCTGCAGGAGAAAGACGAGGCTTTCTGCTTCCATAAAGATTTACAGCCTCGGAAACCCTGTGCAGGGTCACTATG